AGTAAACCTCCTGGGCGCCTGGGTGGCTCAGTTGGTTAAGCGACTGCCTTCGGCTCAGGTCATGATCCTGGAGTCCTGGGATCGAGTCCCACATCGGGCTTCCTGCTCGGCAGGGGGTCTGCTTCTCCCTCTGACCCTCTTCCCTCTCATGCTCTCTATCTCTCATTCTCTCTCTCTCAAATAAATAAATAAATAAATAAATAAATAAATCTTTAAAGTAAACCTCCTGCGAAACAGAGAAAACCTCTTATGGTAGACTTTAAGCTCTTATTTCATTCTCAGCTGAAAGCCATCATCAGAGACTCTGCAGGGCCTAGACAACAGAGAGAAAACATTAGAGGAATTTAGAATCATTTGAGGAACTTGGAGCCCAGAGCAGCCACATATATTCCAATTCATTCCTATGTGAGTAGGAACGTCAGATGCAAGGAGTTCAATAAAAAAGTCAGAATGGGAAGACCCCCAGTGGTGACTAAAAAGGCCTTCAATTGCACAGGGAACCGAACTGGTTTAGGAAAGCTATAGAGTTGGTCAGGGTCTTTTGGAGGCTATCCTCTGTCTTTCCTGTGAAAATAGATTGTGCTTTGGTTCAGTTTTTCAAGCCAAAAAAAGGAGAAGTGTGATGGAGACCTCAGGAGTAGGTTAATACCTATGCAGGAGTTGATCCTGAAGCAGATGTGACCCTGCTCGCTCTCTTACTTTTTGTGAATGGCCTTGAACCAGAAATAGAGGAGCAATAACGTGCAAGCAAAAGTAGAATGGGAAAGAGCCCCAAGGCCAGACCTCCCAACCCTGCTGAATATTTTGAAAAAAGTTCTACAACTAAGATATGAACAATGAAGATATCAGTGAAGGTGTTCAGTTTCTCATTCTACTCTTAAACCCACAAGGAAAGATTTCTCTAAAAATTAAAGAACAACCTTACAAATGTTTTACTGATATGGGCAGGATAATATCAATCTTAAAGCTGACCACTATTGCACAATCTTTTCCTTGGGGCCTTCAAACTACTCCAGTCACACATTTATCCTCACCATGCCTTCCCCAGGCCCCAGCCCATAACCATCAGCCTCAAAACTTTAACCAGGCAACACCACACTCATTAACTTAATAGCAAGGGATTTACTGTGTGAAGGGAACTGCCATATTAAATGCTTTCCCTGATGGTCCCTTCCTTCCGGTTTGGTCCCAGAGGACTTCCTTATTCATAATAAGATCCTGGCTCATTCAGATAATAATTTATGAGTACCTGTGTGTGTAAACCAAGCAGATTGAAAATCTTTTATCAGCAAAAATTCTACTGACACTCTACTGGAGCTAAACCCATCAAGGTTCAATCTCTACCCAAACCTGCATAATAGCCTCTAAAACAAGGCAATAAAAGAAGGAATAAAACTAATAATCAAACACCTTAAAGAGAAAGGAGCTTCATACCTTGTCCCAGTCTTTGTGACACTCCTATCCTCTCATTGAAAAACCCAGTGGGCAGGAACACAGATTTGTTTGGGACCCCAGGGCTACAAATTAGTCACTGCCTGCTTCGCATTAGGATTAAACTCAAGCACTATTCTATCTTCAAGGCCTACAGAGATCATGTGTTTTACAGTTGTGGATCTATGTTGTGTTTTCTTTGGTGTCTATTTTTTTAAGATTTTATTTTTAAGTAATCTCTACACTCAGCATGGGGCTTGAACTTACAACCCCAAAATCAAGAGTCGCACACTCCACCAACTGAGCCAGCCAGGTGCCCCTCTTTGGTGTCTCTTTAAATCAAAAGTTAATACTTGTCCTCTCCAGGGAAAATCAACAATAGTACCTGGATGACCACTATGCCTCAGTTTACTGAGCTACCCTCCTACATTTCACAAGTCCTCAACCAGAACCTCAAGAGCCTTACACTGCCTTGTAATTGTATTCTTATTCAATAGGTGGACAATCTTTTGTTGTGTTCAAAGATGAGGTGAGCTCTGATGCTGATTCATCTACTGCTTACTCTTTTAGCTCAGTGACAGCATTAAGGGTTACATAGAAAAGCCAACAATTTGTCAAGAAGTACCCTACCCAAGACAAGACATCCCAAGGAGGAAAATCCTTTACTCAGACAAAGAGCTGTGCAAAGGGTTTCTGGTCAATAACTAAGACATTATGAGGATCCTTGGGTCTCATTGGCCACTGCAGACAGAATATTCCCAACTTCTCTGCAATGTGCACGCCATAAATTTGATCTACCCAAGTCCTTGCTAACCAAACCTTTTCCCTGGGAACCCAAACATGAACAGACATTTTCTGAATTCAGATTAGCTCTTCAGTACCCTCCCATTCTGGGCCTAACCAAGTATCATAGACCTTCAACCTATAAGTACATGAGAAATGTCTCCAAGCCCTTAACTGTGTGAGAATCGAGACCCACAGCTTACTACAGCTTCTCCTGTGATCCAGGGACAAGAGCCTCCCCACCTTGTCGAGGAGCAGCAGCTAAACTAGCGGAGTCTTCTGTCAGCTTGGCTAGTCCCTCATTCAGTACTATCTTTGTTGCTTCCTAAAATTACACCTTTCTTAGCAGGTCCTTCACCTCCTGTGAACTCCAATACTCTCTCTGAGGTGCTAAGACTGTCAGGCAGTGCCCTCCCTCACTCTGTTAAGCAATCAACCCAGCTTCTTCTGATCAGCAAGTTTTTCCAGCTGGCAAAGGATGACAATCTTTGTCAGAATTTGTCCTAAACTCTCATCTGAGAGATTTCAGATTATTAAAAAATAAAAACAACCACCACACTTTCTACACGCCTTTTATTTTGGTAAATATTCCTAATACAATCATGGCTGCTCTTTGCTCTCATTCCTACATTCTCTTACTCCCCTGAAAAATGCTGGTCACTAGCAGGCTGGGGGCTTATCTCTGCTGGAACAGAACCACAAAAGGATCAGGAGTGTGGCTGCAGTGTTGGGGAGCAGCTCATTTTAAGCTCTAACCACGATATTGTGTTCCTCCCTCCCATGCCCTATACCCACACACATCTTGGAGCAAGACTCAAAGGAACAAGCGGCAATTCGGTTAGTTCCCTGGAGTCCTGCAACCTGGGGGCAGGGTTGGCAAAGGATTAGGGAGAAAAAGGGGAGGAGGGGAGGTTTCCTTATTTCTATCAGGGGTGCCTTCCCCTCCTCAACTCTGCTGTCCCCTGCCCACCCCAGGGCTGACTCTGGGGCATGTCAGACCTTGGGCAGGTCACCCTCATCCAAAGGACATGCACAAACTCTCTCCAACTGAAAGCTCGTTCTGGTGACCAGCAAGGGCAGCCCAAGGCTAACCAAATGCCAGTTAGAGGAGGTGACAGGAATAGGCCCGGTGTTTGTGTAAATGGAGTAAACTGGCCCTAAATTCCAACAGCCAGAGTTGTCCCTGTTTTCCTTTGTCTATTTCCTGGCCCCTGGGAGTTCAGAACAGACCCCGGGGTGCTCAGTGCAGCAGCCAAGGTCAGGAAATGCTGTCCCCCAGCAAGGAATGTAGCTGCATTTGGAACCTGGATTGGAGGGTATCCACCCACCGGGGCGTTGTGGGGGTGGAGAGCAGAAGATTGGCCTTCACCAGATAATCCCGGGCCTAGGCACCGGGAGCCTGAGCTCTGCTTGACAGAAACCTTACCACAGTTACCGTTGTCCAGAAGCACCAAGCAGTGGGGTCTCCTGACACTGAAAGTGGTGGAGCGTATTCCCACAGTCGAGATGGACACCTCTTAGGGGTCTATACTATAGTTAAAAGCTTGCCCTGACTTTCCTTTTGGAGTCTTCCGTCTGCACTATGCAACATGTCACTTACGCACAGGGGAGTTTTTTGGTCTCACTGTGATTTCTAGCGTGTTGGCCTCAATCCCCACACTGGACTGCAAGCCGCTCCGGAGGCGGGGCCACCCTAACCAGTCCCTTCTCCTTCAGGCCACCCTGTAATCCCTTGAACTTCTTAGTCCCCCACAGCGCCAGGCGAAGCCCTGCCCTGAGTTTTGATCACAGCCTTCAGACACCAGAATTAAGAAATACCACGCTGGAAAACAGCTTAACACCTTTAAGAATTCCAGGGTAACGGGAGTCCGCAGAGGGCAGGCCAGCCAGGTCGTGCGAGGGAGTCAGGCTGGAAAGAGGAACTCCGCTGTTAAAAAAGAAAATGAAAAGTGTCTCAGGGTGCCGGCGCCCCGAGAGTGCAGGGGCTCCGAACGGGCCTGTTGAGCACCGCCCCCGGCCCCCGCCCCCGGCCCGAGCACCCCGGAGGGTGGCGCGCTGGGCCGCGCGTCCCCGCAGGGCCGGCTCCCGGGGAGGTTCACTCTCGCAGACGGGGGTGACGGGCCGGCTGGCCTCTCCCCGGATTTGTGACGTGCCCGGGGCAGCGCTGGTGACCAGGCCACCACACAAAGCCGGGGCGTCGGGACGGGGGGGGGTCCCCAGGCCAAGAGCCCCAATGGGATGGGGAGAGGGCGGGGAGCGAGGCGCCCTCGGGCGCCGGGGCCCCGCGAAGTATTAAAGTGAGCGCCGAGTCGGCGGCGGCGGCGGCGGCAGCGGCGCCGGGGGCCTGGCGCTGGCGGCGGGGCGGCCGCGAGCGCTCGTCGCGCGCCTGGCTGCTGTGGCCGCGC